GCTCTCTTAAACAGGCTGAAATTTGACGTTTTTGATTTTTGCCTGGGCTCTGACCATTAAATGGCTTAAAATCAGTAAGTCTGCGGCCTAGAAGTTTGAGAAACGTCTCGATCCGGTGTTTACGAGTTCGTCCATGACCCTCGCTTGCTTTAGAGTTTATTGGTATTCTTGCAGATTGTTTTGATAATGGATCTGAAAGCTGCAAAAAACATGAAGGCTCGCGAAATGGCATGCAGTGATGTTCAGAAAGTCGCCGATTCCCTTAATGTTAATCTTACTGTAAGCATTTCGCCACCGTTAAAAAGTTCTTTTTTTAGGTTTTTCTCGTTCCCTCTTCGTCTCTACGCCGTACTTTATCAGACGAAGCACGGAGCCATACGCGGGAACCACGCACACCTGGAGGCTGAATTTGAAATCTTTGAGTCCTATTTACGCGGGGACATAATCTCAATATTTCAGCTTTCTAGCTTTTCTGGTTCCCGAGTTAGCGGTTTTCCCGCCAAGACTTTCATCCCCTTGTCAACTAGAAAAAAAATGAATTCAATATATTTACCACTGCGATTTCAGCGCTTGGATTTCGATCGTCTTGATTTCGGTGAGACTAATGCTCTCGATGTATTTTATAACGCAGATGTGGCACTTGTCGATGTTTCAATCACTCAGCAACAGCCCAGCCTCTGTTACCATATCGGCGTGCGCGAATCCATGGGCCAAACCTATAACATTATCCTCACACATTTCACTGAAGAAACTTCCGAATTACTCGTCAAAGCTCTCAAAGTTCGTGAAAAAAGGAACACTTTTTTATGCGCTTCTTTTCGTTTTGCATTTATCGGTAAGGCCTGGTCTTTGTGTATGTGTGTGTGTGTTTATGTGCCTATGCATATGTGTGTATATGTATGTGTGTATGTATATGTGTTTATGTGAGCGTGTGTGTGTGCGTGTATGTAAGTCTATGTGTGTACATGTGTATGTGCGTATGTGTATGTGTATGCGTACATATGTATGTGTGTGTGTTTTCTGTTTGTTTCCACATTTTTAAAACTACGACCAAACAAGTTATAAAATAAGGTGAATTTTGCTTATTTGCGCCAAATCTGCGTTTGAACCAAGCATGTAGATTTGATATCATGGTCGAAATTATGCAAAAATGCATGTTTTTTCCTCGCGTGCAGTGTTATTTTTTTTTAACCAGTTAAGAAGGTGTATTGTTTATTCAGCGGCAACACATTGTTACTGATAAAGCTAGAAGTAAGGATTCTACGAGAACCAGCAATAATGGTATTTCGGTCAGCTGCCGTTTTATTAACGTTTTTCCGCAAAAATTAGTTCCCCGGTAATAGTAGAGTGATAAATTTCAGAAAACATTAGCACATTTGCCAATGATTGTGTACATGCTACCAAATGATAATTCATCGTTGGTATCGGTCGATAAAACAGCG